TAACAGAATAAGTCAAAATAGAGAGTTTTCTCTAGGTAATGATGCCATGTGGGAAAATGTCACCAAAATAGATGAGTATCCTCCATCTTGACCAAACACACACACTGGAAGACAAAGCTTGAGTTTCAAGAACAGTAAAAGAATGGATGAAAATACGGCAAAGGAAACAGAACATATGGCTCAACTGATCAAAAATCATATATCAAAAGGAAGACAGGAAGGCTGTCTTATGCTTCAGAAAGTTGAAGCAAAATGCAAAATCTCTTGAAAAAATTCATTTTGATACCAAACATTAAAAGTTTAAATTCAACTGGTATGTAAACTAAATACACATTACTTATATTTCCATGTGACATTGGCTATGAAATATGTAATGTCTACACCAACACTAATATACTAATATAATATAAGGGAACACTTAAACAGCACAATTTAACTCCAAGTGTTCCCTTTATTTTTTTGAGCAGTATATGTTTAAAATATACATTAACTATACCTGAGCATCACATGTGGGTCTTCCCCAAACTATTTTCACAAAGTTGAAAGCCCACAATTGTATAGAATGTTTTCGCATGCTGTTGCATTTGCCGCAACTGGGACTAAGGGGCCCAAACATGTTCCAACATGATAATGCTCCTGTACACAAAGCAAGATTCATGAAGAACTCTAGTGGCCTACACAGAGCCTAGACCTCGACTCCACTGAACACCTTAGGATAAATTGGAATTCCGACTAACAAGCCTCCTAACCTGACATCAGTGCCTGACCTCACTATGCTCTTATAGATGAATTGGCGAATCCCCACAGCCACATGCCAAAACTTAGTTGAAAGCCTTCCCTGAACAGTGGTGGTTATTATAAATGGTTTGCACTTATATAGCACTTTTATCCAAAGCGCTTTACATTGTGTCTCATTCACTCATTCACCAATGGTAGCAGAGCTGCCATGCAAGGTGCTGACTTGCCATTAGGAGCAACTTGGGGTTCAGTGTCTTGCCCAAGGTCACTTCGGAGCACACTAACCCTACGATTAGTGGACAACCTGCTCTACAACCTGAGCCACAGCCATTCGGGGGGACTAAATCTGGACTGGGATGTTCAAAAAGCAGATATGAGTGTGATGGTCAGGTGTCCACAAACTTTTGTCCATATACCGTAATTTTCAGACTATTGAGCGAACCTGAATATAAGCCGCACACACTAACTTTAAAAAGGAAAACTATTTTGTACATATATATGGCCGCAGATGTCAATGTGGTAACTGTCATGATTCGTGACGTGAACAAAGCAGGATGGATGCAAGTTCAGTTAGGACGAGACCTTTTATTGAAACAGAGGAGAGCAGACTCAAGAGAAACAAGAAACACAAAACATGACCAACTAAATGAACTAAGCTAACTAAACCAATTAACCTAAACATTAACTATGACATGAAACGTGACAATGACTATGAACATGAACATGGCATGGAACAAAGACTTTATATCTATACTCTATAAACCACTTCTACATCTATATTCTAAATTAAGTCTATACAACTCTAAGCTATACTATCTGCTACTAGGCTATAAGCTATGCTACAAGCTACTAGGCTATAAGCTATGCTCTAAGCTATTAGGCTACAGGCTAAACTATAAGCTATGCTATAAGCTAACTAGCCTTGACATGAACTCGGACATGGACTATGGCTATGAAACATGAACAAGAACTAAGACACATGGCATGAACAAAGACTAACTATATTCGCTATCTAATTCTAACTCTATCTAATTACCCACATTGTGTGTGTCATGGCTCCCGGTATATATACACAGCAGCCTTATTAGCCCCAAACTGCTAACAGCTGCTGGCAATACCAAAACACACGTGACTCGACAACACAAGACAAGACGGTGCGGAGACATGACGTCAACCAATATGCATTTCTTCGTGTGTTTTCCCTGATGAGGGTGTGTGCATGAAGCGCAAAACGACTGATCTGAAGAATGTAGTGTGAGCGTGTTAGATTTAATTCGAACAGTTTCATTGGTCCACTGTGACCTGTTGGGTAATTGCATTTGTCCGATGTGACGAGGTTAAAGGTTTTGGCGGCATGAAGCTCGTTAGCCCGTAAAAATCCATAAATTAGCCACATCATTGTTTAAGCCGCAGTGTTCAAAGCGTGTGACAAAAGTAGCGGCTTATAGTCCGGAAATTATGGTACTGTAATTCTATATAGTGTAATTCATGTTCTTATAGACTTGTCATGTAGAGCAAAATAGTAGTGTTATAGCATTCATCAAACTAACTATGTAAAATGAATAGTATTATACACTATTGTACCAACAGTTGCATCTCACCAGTCGCAGCAGTTAGCCATATTTACTGGTTCAATCTTGATAATATTGTGATCTTGCTATTATACCCTTGAGCAAATCCATTGAGCCCAAGTCAGCTTTGGAGGTATGGTTCTCTGATTACTGCAAGTTTTTTTTAGGACAAGAGTAGTACATTTATAAATGATATAGTATTGATGGCATAAATGGAAATGCATGTAAATGCACTGTACTTTCTTGTAATATCAGCATTGTCTGATTATTGTTTTCCACTGTTTATGGCAACAGTGCCTGAGAAAATGTCAAGCACTGAGCAGAAATACTTCACTTGTCATGGATCTCTTTGACAGGAGGCCCAACATGTGTTTGAAAGCTTTGACAGATAAGTCAGTGAAGTGATTCTTGGAGTAGAAGGAAGATATTTCAGCATAGGAAGCTAAACCAAGGTAAATGGAGGATGGTTTCTGGTTTTGTGAAGGTCTATGGTAGGAGGAGGATGGGGGAAAGAATGTAAGAAGGGGAGCACAAAATTCTAATGGCTGATAAGAGATCAGCTTTCCTGAGTTTGGGAGGGGGTGAGAGTGACAGAAAGTAATGGATTTTTGTGCCTGTTGTGATTAAGAGCCTGTACTAAAGCTGTGATAATGTGCTGATATCTGCAGGGAGCTGCCTGATGCACACTGATGATAAAACCCAGGCACCGGGAGAAGCAACTCTTTTGCTCACTCTGCTGAAGCCCTGCCTCACATACCCATTCTGTAGAAAATCTCCTCATTTGTTTCCTACATGTGCCTCCCTAGATAATTTGGTTCCTAAAGTGTGATTCTTTCAAACAGTTCTTATCATAGCAAACCTCTATAATCATGTTGCAAACACAGATTTGCACTTTGAAACAAAATATTTTTCCCAGCTGAAACCCCTACATCCTGATTCTTTGTTTATTTTAATTATTTTACATTTTTGTAGATGACAAAGGTTATATTTTCTCTTGTCACAATCTCTTTTCTTCCAAAAATCACAACATACTGTAAATAGCCAGAGCTTGCTCTGCAACGGTGCAAAGAGTATAACATGCTTATCCCTCCTTGATTCATATTTTTACATTTTGTAGTCCATTGTGTTAGCAGTGTTTTGAAATTATTGTTATTTGTGTTCATATTTGGTGTTATCTTGGTATGTATTTGTTGTAAGTATCCTTAAGCCTTATATTCTCTGGCTGTGTGTTCCTAAGCACTAAATACTTTATGTACTGTGAAATGCTGGGCAGGAAGCCTTGTTATGCAGCTACTGAGTTGTTAAAGCATTTTAATTCAATTCAATTAAATTTTTATTTTATTTAATATTTGTATGGCGCTTTTAAAAATGGACATTGTCTCAAAGCAGCTTTACAGAAACATATAAACACAGGATACAGATTGTACAGAAAGTGTGTGAATTTATCCCTATTGAGCAAGGAATGGTGGCATGGAAAAACTCCCTAAGATGATATGAGGAAGAAACCTTGAGAGGAACCAGACTCAGAAGGGAAATCCATCCTCATCTGGATAACAATGGATAGTGTAAAAGTAAAAGAAAAATGAAGTCTGTTTGTTGAATTGCAAAACTGCATGTGGTAATTGCTGTCCCAAGGCCATAGTAGCAACCATAGTCCCAGCAACCCAAGCAAGAATGTGGAATTGAGGTCCAAAACCATTTCCATGGTACTTCAAGTGGTACCATCCTAAGCAATCGCCAGGCTGTAGCTGTAGTTGAAGAGAGCTCCATCTAGAGGTAGGGCATCAGGATGGATCAGGCAGGGCAAGAGAGCAGAAAGGGTCAAGATCACTGGCATCTCCACAAAATCATGTGGGGCTCAACAGAAGGACAGAGGGAGGTAAAGAGATGGAGAGATTATTAGGTACGCTTACTATCCAGTGATGGATAAAACTGTGTACTTTGCGTAAGAGAAAGTCTATTCATGGTAATCCTGAGTCAACAAATATGTTTTCAGCCCCGAAATCTAATTGGAAGGCTGTTCCGCAACTGTGTGGCTTAGTAAGAGAAAGCTCTTCTCTCTGTTGTAGCCTTCACTATTTGAGGTACCAATAAATAGCCTGCACATTTTGATCTAAATAGGCATGGTGGATCATAGAAGACCAAAAATTTGCTGTGACCGTTTTTAAGATTTTGCTTTAAATAAGTATATAATCAGCTTCAAAACATTCCCTGTGTGTACTAAATTATGTGTATTTGTAAGTACCTTGCCATAGTTACTTTATTGTAACATTATTATTGTGTGAGGCTTTTATTTTGACAGCTTATGTGGTACTGTATGTGGAGAAGAGCTCCACCATTATCATGCTACTTTTCACCACTATTTCAGACAAGGTGAATTTTCGTCCATCCATCCATCTTCTACCGCTTATTCCTTCTTCAGGGTCGCGAGGGAACCTGGAGCCAATCCCAGGGAGCATTGGGGACAAGGTGGGGTACACCCTGGACAGGGTGCCAGTCCATCGCAGGGCACAATCACATACACACTCACACACTCATTCATACATTCATACACTACTGACACTTCAGACACGCCAATCAACCTACCATGCATATCTTTGGACTGGGGGAGGAAACCGGAGCAACCGGAGGAAACCCCGGAGGAAACCCTTGCAGCATGGGGAGAACATGCAAACTCCGCACACTCCGCACACACATGGCCCTGAATTGAACTCAGACCCTGGAGGTGTGAGGCGAACGTGCTAACCACTAAGCCACCATGCGCCCCAGGTGAATGTGCGTAAATGACTGTAAGTTCATCTTTATCTTTAGGATATTCTGTAATATGCTTATCCTAGCATTTTAATAGGATATTTGGAATAGAACTCTATAATAGAAGTCTACCCTGTGTATGACGCAGTTAATCCATGCTATCCTGCCATGGAATCTGTCACGAGGCGTGACATCAGGGAAGTAGGACAGATGCAGGTGCAGTTCGAACGGTGCTTTTATTAACAAAGATGAGGACAAACAGAAATGAAATAAGAAACGTAAACCATGGCTAAGGCTAAGGTTAAGGCTAAGGCTATGGCTAAGGCTCTAGCTAAGGAACAAAAGACTCCCTATAACTATACTCTAGTTTAATCTAAGTTTATCCTCTAGTTTACTCTAAGTTTACATTGACATTTACTAAATCTATCTATCAACTATATTGACTCTGTCTATTGAATTAACCGCGCCGTGTGAAGCACGGCTCATGGTATATATACACACCCGCAACCGCTAACAGCTGCGGGCAATACACAAACACACGTGACACGACGACACATGACAAGACGGGGTGGAGACATGCACATGCACACCTTTGCTCAACGTATTATTTCTGTTTATGTTATCAGATGCATCCAGAGTTGTTTATTTGTTTATTTCAGAACAAACCACACACACACACATTATACTGTCACCCTCAGTTCTGAATACAATAATGGCTGGATCATTACTGCACTGCTGAGAAGTTCTATATAAAGAGTGGAAACCATCCAGAGCTCTGTAGTGGAATAGCACTCCACCCTAAACAGTCCCTTACACTGTGACTAGAAATGGATCATCTTATAACAATTTAATGTCAAGATAATTATTTAGTTTTTAAAAACTTGCATTATTTGCACTAAGGTGTTTATTACGAGACATTATGAGAGCCCTCTAAATGCTGTATAAATGTTAGAGAAGATGTACTTGCAATCAAAATTATTCAACCCCCATTGCAAATCAGGTTTATTGTCAAAATTTACAGACTTTCAGCTGTTTGCAATGAACAAATCAAACAAAAGCAATTGAAATAGTTCAACACAATCAAATTCAACTGAAAATGCAACTTATAATGATTTCTCCAATTTCAAAATTATTCAACCCCCTAAATAGAATCCCTCACAACAGCACAAATATGCAAAACAGATGTTGTCTCAAGTACACCTGATTCAAATATCAAGGGCTTAATTAGTTGCACCAGTTGTGCTTGAGTTAGAACACATGAAATACCTAGAACTGGCTAGGGGTAGAAAATATATTAAATACTTGGACAGGGAAGAAAAATGAAGCTACCAATGGCTGCAACCAAATTTCTGAAAAGGCAGGTTGTGAAAAACCCTCGAGTGAGGGTTTGTTGCCACCTACCCATTTGGTGGCAACAGGCACTGAGGTTTCAGTTAGCACAGTATGGTGCATTCCACCAAGGCTTGGTTGCAGAAGAAGTCCTGGAAGAATCTACAGGGCCATCACAGTCACCTCACTAAACCCCATAGAAAATCTCTTGTGGGATTTGAAGAAGGCGGTTGCAGCATGCAAACATACGAATATTACTGAACTGGTGGCCATTGCTCATGAGGAATTGACTAAGATTCCTCATGAACGCTGCAAGAAGTTATGCATCTTGTTTGCAGCAGGTCATAACAGCAAAAGGGTGTTGTACTAAGTACTAAAGATGTTTAACATGAAGAGGTTGAATAATTTGAGACTGGAAAAATCATTATAAGTTGCATTTTCAGTTGAATTTGGGAAACCACTTTACGCATTTTTTGTTTGAACTATTTCATTAGCTTTTGTTTGATTTGTTCATTGCAAACATTTAAAATTCTGCAAATTTTGACAATAAACCTGATTTACAATCGGGGTTGAATAATTTTGACTGCAATTGTAGCTATATTGGCTTATTTGGCAGGGTTTATATTCTATTAAAATGAGCAAGTTTTAGTGGTTTGTGTGATAATTGTTAGATGTATATTTAGTATACGGTATTTAGATAGTTGTTTTTTTTTATTTGTTGTAAATGAACACTTTTATAATTATTTCTTTCTTTTACCCATAATTGTGTGTAATCAACTCATAATAGCTCATTACAAGTTGGGTAAAATGTATTTTGTTGTCGGGTAAAGCATAATGTTTGTTGGGTAAAGAACTGTAAATAATATTAATGTTTCCAAAATGGCCACTGCTTCACTGCATGTGATGTCAGAACTTGTGCAGGTATTTTTCAACAAGTGAGTGAGTCAGTGAAAGACATTCACTATTCTTTTATTCAACTGACATTAATATAGAAGGGGGAGAAAAAAAACAGCAATTCAGGGATGCATAAAAGTTTACACATAATATCAGTATGTTCTCCATGACATGCAGCATGACATGTTCAATCATATACCAAGCATGTCAAGCAATCTGACAAAGTTCCATGGATAACACAGAACATACGTTCTATAAAATAAAAATAAATAATTATACCAACACATTTTTACTACCTCTAGGCCTGTGACATTGCCAATTTCCTTGATACTACCATTACTTCTTAACTGGTCCCATGGGATTATTTACAGAGGAAAAACAAGTGCGTCCATTTCCAAACCATATGTCCCTCTGTCTCTTGGGAGCATGCCTCCAGCTGCCGGGATGCTTTTTACTTCCTAACAGACTCACAGACTTAGATTTGACAACTACCATATAAGTTTCTCCAGTAGGATACTGAGGTAGAACAGAAGGGCCTTATAAATATAAATTTGCATCATTAGCAATGGGAAAGGGCATTCATTGTCACACAACATACCAGGAGAGCAAGACACGTTCATACAAACCTGGACGTAACAGCTGGCCCTTTTGCAGGAATTGTACGACCATATAATTATTATAACGACCAGACCATTGATGCATGGAATCTTGATGTAGTGTGAGTTGAATGACGTAAGTGATGTATGTCTGCTGCAAGAGAAGACCAGCCTATAAGAGATGTCGCAGATGGTATTTTACACGGACACATATGGAGTGCGAATGTCTGTAAGAACCGCCCTGTCCTTTTGTTTTGCTTGGAATGCTGTAGGAGAGAGCATTGAGTATGGGGAATTTTTTTCTTGTGTGACTGAGGATCATTAAATGCTGTGCAGATTGATGTTGGCTGGTTATTCATCTTATGTAAGTGGCGCACACGGTAATTTGGAGTTTTGCAGGGAGTGGGTGTTTATAGTGTGTGTATGTTACAGTTAGTGTGTTACTAGCATTTCTAGACATTCAAAGTGCTTTACATAGTATGGGGGTGGATCTCCTCAACCACCACTAGTGTGTAGCATCCACCTGGATAGACACCAATTATTAGTGGGGAGGAGAGAGTGATGTAGGCAATTCACTGATGGGGATTGTTACGGGGCCATGATAGAAATGGGTCAATGGTTGAATTTTGCCAGGACACTGGGCTATACCCCTACTATTTTATGTTAAGTGTCGTGGTACCTTTAATGAACACAGAGAGTCAGGACCACGGCTTAATGTTTCATCCAAATGATGGTGCTGTTTTTACAATATCCCCGTCAGATACTGGGGCATTAGGCCCCACACAGACCACAGGGTGAGTACCCCCCTGCTGGCCTCACTAATACCACTTCCAGCAACAACCTTAGTTTTCCCCAGGTCTCCAATCCAGGTCCTGGCCAGGCTCATCCCTGCTTAGCGTCAGTGGGAAGCCAGGCAAGAATAGCAGGGAGATTTGGCTTACAGCATTTTGTGGCATCGGTGCACCGGCTAATCGCCGGTGCCTAAAGTGTGGGGATTTCCCTTGTCTTTGGTATGTATTAAGATTTCTTGCTGCTGTTCTAATTAATGTTGTTCCCCTTGTAGTAACACTTTGTTTCGAATAGGTTGTGCATTAATCACTGGTATAAGAATCCGGTCAGTTTGATCTGAAGTCTACTGTTCTGGACAGCGCTGTTTTCTTCACTCTGTCAGTGCTTAACTTCTGTGCATGTTTTTTCTTTGTGGAAGGCACTGCTTCGTTCTGCAGCTGCTCCATTCTTTTTTCTTTGTTATTTTGGTCATTTGATTTGTGTTTGCCTGTGGTGTGGAGGTGGAATGTTTTTTTTGTTAGTTTTTTTGGGGGCTGAAACTGTTGTGCTGTGATTTTTTTGGTTTTCTTTTGCTTTTCTCACTTGGTGTATTTTGTTTGCTACTAATCCTTACCACACCATGAAGAAGGGAAGGATGTGAGTTGTTTCCCTCTGTATTTCCAAACATTTAGTGCTCTGCCACCTTTCATATTCTCGGTGCCTGCTTCTTTCATCCAAATTCGGTTGAGGGATTTGGGATAATCTCCGTTTATGAGGCCGACCTCTTGGTGGTGCGGTAATGTATTAGAGTGGGATTAGTTTTGTTTATTTACTTTTATATATTTTTTTATGTGTAACAAAGTCTAGTCCTTTGATTATTTTGCATTGTGTTGACTTGAATGTGTATGTTTTGTGCTGAATGTGTATTGGTGTGCATTACTAATACATTAATATGTGTTTTATATACAGGAGCTGAGGGCCACTGAGGTGGGTGTCCTTGTGCTGTGGTCTTGAGATGCTTATTCATTGAGTGGTGTGTCCTTACCTGGTGTGTTGAATGGCATGTAGTGAGGTAGTAAGTGAGCGTGTGTTTTGGGGTTATTTTGATTTACTGATTACCCTTCCCGTGTATTGGTTGGTGTGAATGAGTTTTCATTTGATAGTGTTGGTTTGTTTTGGTAAGTGTTCCATTGAAGGCCCAAAAAGACTCAGGTGAATGAACTCTTCAGTCTCAGGTGAATTATTTTTAGTTTTAGGTTGTTTTTTCTTGAATGTTATTTTCTTTTGAACTGCATGTTTGTTAATAACTTTTTTCTTTTTGTGTCCATTGTAGATTCTGATTTAGTGATATTCTTTTTTTGTTGTTGTATTTGTTTGTTGTGTACATACAAATTTTTTTGTGCAAGTTTTGTTTAAGATGTCATA